GACTTCTGGTTACTCGATTGTTCAGGTTTAAATAAAAGTTTATGAACAAAACTACAATTTCAACTTTTGGCAAACTTACGGCTGCCAATATTTTGTTTTCGCACGCCATTATTTTCTCGACCACACAGGAAGCTGGTATTGGAAACTGAAATAGAAAAATGAAATGGACAGATGTTTTGGTTATGTCAAATTTTCTCTCTCTAATGAATAAGATGTTCTGAACTGATTTCGTTGAAAGACGCGTCAAGGAAACAATTAAGTATAGCGAGAAATTTGGCTGAGACTTCTTACGTCACCACAGAAAGAAATAAATTCCTCTCAACTGGGCACGTTATTTACGTGTAAGTTCGTGACGCGATAAACGAAAATGCATTTTTACCCGATGGATGTGGAGACTTGCATCGGCAAATTTCTCAGTGTTGTCCGTGTTAATTTGAGATCAATTTCTTTCAGAAATTTTTGGGAAACGTGTCAGTAAAGTTTTTCAAAGCTCGCATTCAATCCTCTCTAGTCACTAAGCTTCGTTTCTTTGCGCTTTTAAGTTATTCTGACCGTAAAAATAGAGATGACTTTTCATTCGAATGAAAACGAGAAAAAAAAGATGGCCAGAGGCATCATCTCTCAAATCAAACCAGAAAAAAGTTGACTGACGCGCTTTCGCGGAACTCGCAATTTTTGAGTTTTTCACCCCGCTCAACCAGCTCGATTTGATTGCACTGATTTCCACTCTGAAGTTAATTCCAGTTACCCGACTCTACAGATTATATTAAGTGCCATGAATACAAAGTGACTTGTTTTTCAATCACGGGAGATTCGTAGACGAATATTGGCCAAAGTATTTCAAATCCTTGAGACGGTTCGTCAAATGTTCCCAAAAGGAGTAGAAGCGACTTAAGCACTCATGAAAGAATCTGTTATCGGCAAATGCTGTTTCTTGCATTTAAACTGAAGCAAGATACATGCATTTGGTATGAAATAATAGAAGTTTTACCGACAACTTACGTGGATTTAAATATTCAAAATATTTATCTATCGGGTCCATTTAACGGCTAACCGGTTTATTTTTTTAGAACAACAGTGCTTCAATAAACGATAAAATTTATTTCGAATATTTCAATGAATCAATTTTTAGCAAAAATTTGTTTTCTGCAAAATCACCGAAGAAGTGTGCGTTGGTCAGACGAAACTTATCGGGATATCAGAAACATCCTTTTTTTCAGAACTTTTAAGTTTGAAGCCCAGCTCGAGCGCTAGCGGCCGTCTAGTTTTAAGCTCCAAAGTTAAGTCCAATGAATTGTCTCTCAATGGAGGCCACTTCTTTCCATAAGTTGTAAAAACGAGTGATAGAGCCATGTGTTTAGATTGTAGTGATTGTTTATTCATAGTATATCACGACTCAGTTTCATTTCGCACAGAGGAACATCTTTATGACTTGACGGCTGTTATTGATCCACTTTATTGCCGATTGTTGGTATAACAAACTGAAGTTTTGACCGTTAACTGACGATTAACCCTATTGAGATCATCATGTAGCGGTGCCAAAAGCTGTTTCATTTCGTTAACAAGAAGAACAAGGTATACATTTGGTTATAAAGTTATCATTCGGGAAATAACTATAAAGGTAATCTTCAGTTTTGGAAATCCCTTAAAGGTTGTCCAATAGAGGAACGTATGACGGCTGGGTTGAAATGCATAGTTTTAGTTTCGAACAGGAATGTCTTTCATGATAAGGCTCACTGATAAGTAACGGTTTGCAGGTATCATACGAGTCAAAAGAGAAAACATTTAGTATTACAGACTCTTTGGAAAAATAAGAGTCGAGCGATTGTCATGTTGAAAAGCTTGAATACCGCGGGCTCATTGAAAAGCCCGGGCCTTGCACAAAGGTGAGAGTGAAAGGAGAGTTTTAAGTCTTTCATTTCTTTCTGTGGTGACGTAAGAAGTCTCAGCCAAATTTTTTCGCCATACTTAATTGTTTCCTTGACGCGTCTTTCAACGAAATTCATAGCATCTTATTCAATAGAGAGAGAGAGAGAATTTGACATAACCAAAACATATGTCCATTTCATTTTTCTGCGTCAGTTTCCAATATCAGCTTCCTGTGTAGCCGAGAAAATGATGGCGTGCGAAAACAAAACATGTAAGTTTGCCAAAAGTTAAAATTTTAGTTTTGTTCATAAACTTTTATTTAAACCTGAACAATCGAGTAACCAGAAGTCCTCAACCTAAGGTATAGAGCGATTTTCATCTAATCGAAAATACAAACAGTATTGAAACGATGGATACTCTCAAGGAACTACTTGTGCCTAAAGCATTCAACAAATATAGCCACTTCGCAGTCGTTTCAATTTGGTTCGTGATGGGTGCAACCTTCCTCGGCATTTTTATTGAAGTGGAAAACACCGAACCCAGGTTTGATTTCCGTTGTGGTGGAGCGAAGACTGAAAACATTGATCTCGTCCGTGGAAAATGTTTCCGGCAATACATGAAGCAGTACAACAAATACGGTGTTCCCATTTATGGCTTCGTGATCATCAATTTCTGCCTTATTGCTGCTGTATATGCTGTGTACTCCCAAATAGTGAAAAATACAGTCAATGTACTGTCGTCAAGCACTCGCAACGGTGACCCTGAGAGTCAGTCGGGCGACCAAGAGAACAAAAATTCAAAGGGAAAACAGCTTTTCATCGCTTACTGTTGCCAACTATCTACGAGACTTGTTTTAGGAGTTCTTTCCATGATCCTTCAAACTCAGTTGCTTTATCCTCTCGAGTTTTCCTATACGTTTGACTGTTATTTACCCTCTAGAACCAATCAGCCAAGGAATTCATCGGACGCCACCCAAAACTCTGCTTTTCACGAATGTAGCAATCAACGATCGGAAAAGAAAACCTTCTGGATGAACGCTATTCTTGTAGTGAATGGAATTTTTGTCGCTGGCATTCTTATTGAAACCATCTACATTATGTCACGGGCATGCATAGAAAAAAAGTTCATGAAAAACTCAAAGTTTCTTGAAACACATCTAAATCCCAGTCATGGAAAATCCCATCAGAAACCTCAAAGGCAAGAAGAAAGAATAGAACAAGTTTCACAACAGTTACGAGTGCCAGAAAACTGTTCGACCCGAGGCGAGTTGCACCTAGAACCTCAGAGGCAAGATGATGTCGTCCAACCACAACCACACGAGCGTGAACACCGTCCAACCCAAGTCGAGTTACACTCAGAACCTCAAAGACAGGATGATGTTGCATCGAGAGAGCGAGAACACCGTGCGACGCAAATTGAGTCCCACCAAGAACCTCAAAGACAAGATGATGTTTTCCCACTACAACCACGGGATGAAATCGAGTCGCATCAAGAACCTCAGAAGCCGAATAGAAGGAGCGGACATGATGATGTTCCTCTGACACAAAGGGAACCAGAACAGCTCCAAAACTCAAATCTTCAACGATTCATTGCGAAAACAAAGGAAATAATCCAAGAAGACGCCCAAAACCTTTTTGAGCTCCAATCACCTTTTTTAGGAAACCCAGGCGAACAAACGGCAGTTAAACATTTGACTTTGGATCAGATTTACACAAATCTTACGGTTATTAATGATAGAGATACATATGACTTTACTGAAGACAGACAGGAGCAACTCAAAGTTTACCCAAGGTCGCGCAAGGGAGAATCACAACCCAAAGGCTTAGAAGACCTCCTAACGGATAAAAGTAAGAAAGTTTTGGTTGTTGGTCGTCCCGGAATCGGCAAAACATTATGTTGTATTAAACTTCTCAGAGACTGGGCATTTGATGACGTTTTTAAAGCGACATCTAATGCTGAAACGCACTTTGACGCTGCCTTCTTTGTAAAATTCAGGAGATTCAACTCAACCGACGTCCTGAACCTCAGGGAACTATTGATTCAGTCAGAGCATTTTCCCCCAGACCACCTGGATGATAAAGTCTGGAAATACATCCTGCAACACCCTAAACGCGTCATCATACTTTTTGACGGATTCGATGAATTCAAACATGATGCTAAGATCGTTCAGTCGCCTCCTCGTCCCAACGTAGAACAGAAAATGCCGCTCCGAATCCTCTATCACTGTCTTGTGCACGGAAAACTCCTCAAAGATGCCTCAATTGTGACCACAACGAGACCTACGGCTTTGCCGAGCATCAGACGCCTTCCATTCGACAAAATCTGCGAGATTTTGGGGTTTTCAACCGAGCAAATTGAAGAATATGTCTACAAATTTACGGGAGACGACAAGCAAGCAGGCGAAACACTTTGGCGACACATCAACAGCAACATGAACTTACTTTCGCTCTGTTATATCCCAATGAACAGCTTCATCGTGTGCTCAAGTCTGTTCCAAATATTGCAGTTCGAAAGTTCCGCGGGTGTTACCCTCCCCTCCAAATTAACCGAGATATACAATATTGCAGTGAAAGTGTTTTATTTCAGACACACTAAAGAATTCCGCGATACTGATTTCACTCGTGAACACTTTGAATCTGATGAATTGTCCTTAGATGTGGAGGAGAAATTCGAGAAACTAGGAAGAGTGGCGTTTGAAGGAATCAAAGAAGGAAAACTGATCCTTGAAGGAAACGAAGTGCGCGGAATGGAAGACAGCGCGCTTTTTCACCGCTTACCCGATCGTAAAACCAGCGCGCTCAAACATGAACGACAATTCTGTTTCATTCATCTGACAATGCAAGAGTTTTTCGCTGCGAGGCACTTGGCAAACAACACGAGTGAAACAGAATTGAGGAACTTTGTTTCCGAGAACATCAAGAATGGTAAATGGCAGCTGGTTTTTCAGTTTCTGGCGGGACTAATGGAGGACAAAGTTCAGCTACCAAGCGAAATCATCACTGACCTTCTTCCTGTGAAAACTGAAATGAAAGAAAGCGCCGACTACAACGAAGAGTGGACAGAGAATGAAGACAAAATGGTGACCTGCTGGCCGACTGAAGACGAACGGGATTTAGCGGTGACGTTTTTTAAATGTTGTAACGAAAGTGATAAGATGGAGTCGATAGTTCAGAGAAAACTTCAACAAATTA